GAATGATCAATAGCATATCCACTCACCAATTCAAGATTATTTGTTATCCATTATTTGATTTACCATTACCAAAAGATAGAATAATTTCTACAAGAAGTATCCACTGGGTACCTTCTGCTTTTTGTACGCACGTGAAAGACTTGAATGTCAAAACTATGTCAATGGAGCACACAACACAGGCTGCGCTTCCATTTCAGTGATCCAATACCACCTCAAAGGAATACTCATTCTTCAAGAATATAATTATGCGAAGCAGAGGAATATGCCACAAGTTGTTATCATTGTGACACCAAAAATATGGAGAAACACTGGTCCAAATATAAGGAATCTGCCATATTTCATTTATGTATAACATTCGGCCACTGAAGTCATCTTAAAACCAGAGTATGGAAAAGGATTTAAAAGTTTACTTACATGCTCAGTTCTGAGGTTGCACGTCTTATTCTCTGCTTTCCTGTGTTTGAAGGTCAGAAAAACAGCCAATCTTTCTAACTCATCATGCATTCAGTGGGCGTAAGTTTATAAAATGCTCTGAACAAAATTATTAGATTTTTGCTTTTGTTTATTAATGACCAATCTGGCCATGCCCTCATGGTGACAAAAACATTCCCTAAACAAACTAAAACTCTTGGTTGATTTAGAAACATGATTTCCCCATCCCACTCACGTTTTTTAAAACGTCTGGCTGCCTGATAAGAGTTCATACATCACAAACTGCAAAAGACACAGGTGTACGGGCACCAAAGAGGTACCATTTGTTTGTTTTACTGTAGTTTACAACGGCAGCAAGGTTCACATTACAAAGTGTTGGGCCATGGGTCTAGGTTACAAGGTTTTTGTTTTCTCTTAAAAATATGGTCATGAATTTAACAATAATGGACTCAAGAACTGTTGCTTTTTTCATCTGCCAGAAAACTAAGAGAAATAGGCTAAATCACTATGGGGAAAATACCACCTCTTTTCCTCATGGCTGGGAGAGAAAAAAATCAGGTTATCAAAGCACTATATACATTTGTTTTAAATCCCACATAAATATTAAACAGAACTACAGAAGCATCTATGGAACACAGTTTCACCAAACGGGGGCTTTTCAGAGCCACTTTAGTGATGGCTTGCTTTAGATTGTCGCTTGAAAGACATTGAAAACCAAGATACTGTAATTGTATAACTTAAAAAGATAAGGAGAGAACACAGGACACTGTAATTCCTCCCACCCCCAGAAATATTGCTTACAAGGATGAAATCATTCAAGACCCTGCAATCTTCCTAGCCTAGTCACTGGGAACAAACTTACTCCTTTTTCATTTTTGCCCACAGAAAGCATGGGGGGGGGAGAGGGAGAGGAGATATGGCCCATTTCAAGGACTAATGAGTTCTGAAACCCAACTGTTTACAACGAGCCCCAACTAGTTTGAGCAGAAGGTATGGCATTTGCCATATCACCATTACATCCAATCAGTTCCTTATTCACTATTTAATCCATCCTGTAGTGCTTGCAGAAGCAGGCAGCTAATTTAGTAGCTTTTTGAAGACTCCCCCCCCTTTTTTTTAAAAAAAATCTTTTTTGTGTGTCTTTCGGGCCAAGATGATAAGAGATTCGGGCACCTGAAAAGCATCTGTTTTACCCTTGAAAGCTTTATGCAATGATAGTGAGTAGCTGATTCTGCAAGAGGTAGGTAGGTCCTTCTGCTATCCTGTTAGATAAAACTAGTTTAGACATGGAAGTCATTTCTTGGGCTCTGTGAACAAGCCCCCTCTAGAGTTGAGAGATACATGAAAGCAAATGGCAAGAGCACTGTTCCAAGTGAATTCCAATCACTGGGAAATGCATACGGTATTCAAGCCACTGTGTCATTTCATGCAAATGATCCCAATGTACATAACATTCCATGCTGTCCTGCAAATCCTGGGAACAGTAACTACCAGTTATATTACATTTATCTGAGAAGGGAGAAAGTTTGAAGAGCTATAAATTAGGCCAAATGTTTACTGGTGCTGATCACTTTTAAAACCACAAACTGCCTGCATTATATATGTGCTTTGGGGACTACCATACATATTCCCCAAGAAATCCTTCATCCAAACAGATGCATTATTTTAATCATGTATAAGGGGAAGAGGCCAAGCACCTCACACTGCACACTGCAAATTGTAATTAGTGATCAAAAAGGGTGGATTCAATCTCCCTAAATTCAAAATATACCATGACATTTTTGCGGCCACCGAAGCACAACACTGGAGTGGTTGGGGCTTCAGTTCCTGCAGGGGGAAGAAGCAGAACATTCAATTCTTTAAAAATAAAATCCTCTGGTTTATGAATATGGGATATTGTGCTTTGGTACCCACGATTTAAAAAGCCAGGAAATGGCTTGAGATTGCTGCACAATATTGTGCTTGCATCACCAGCAGGAAAAAAGGATTCCAGCCCTTATATAACAAAGGGCAGCCTGAATATTGACAATACCAATGACAGCCGTCAAGATAGTCTACAGGACACCCTCTTCTGTTCAGTACTATTAACAAAGTGACACAATGCAAGGGAAAATCCCAGAAGCTGACTCCTTTTTTCATTTAAGCACTTCTCACCAAAACACAAAGCAATTGTCAGGGCTGTTTTTGAACAAGTGTGAAAGATAGTAAGCAGAAGATGGTATCTTGTAGACCCACCTTGGCTGTTGCCAATTTGCAGACAGAAAAGGTTGCTGGTGTCTGCTTGGAAGGAGTAAAACAGTTTTACTTTTTTAAAAAATCATAACTTGAAAACCATTTGTCCAAATCTCTCAAATAAGAGCAGACTGGTATCTGTGCCAAATTTGGTGCTGATTAAAGGTCCAGTTTATATAACTTTCAAACTGAAATATAAATGGTAATATATAGTAAATGGGAATATATATATTAAGGGTGCCTTTATTTTTGTGTTGCCTTACGGAATGCGGATTTGCTGTTCCACAATATCTACTGCCACACTCTCATGCAGCAATTGTAACAGTAACTTTGGATAGGTGGGGGTCTCTGTCAGCTCTGAAAGCCTCACATACATAACACTACAGCTAAGCAAAGGGTATGGAAGGACCCTGGATATGCACTGGAATCTGAACTTTAATACAAAATGGAAACTTCACCCCAAAATAAGAAATGCAGCAATGTGACACAAATGCAGTAAAATGGGAATTAATGCTGCAATACAACTTATCAACCAGAATAGCTATTTCAAATAGCTTAAGGCAGAGTTTAACCCGGCCGCCCCAGCCTTGTGGCATTGTGGTACAACTCAGATTTTACCTAAGGGCTATGTTTGGTTCAGATGTCCTGACAATGCCAGAAACCCTAGGGGCACTCTCATTTATGCACAGAGCTGGGACATCCCCATGAGCACCAAGACTTTCATATTTCTTTGCCAAGGCTATTTCCTGCTCCACACTGGGCAGGATATGAACTAAGTGGCTGTTGAACTAGGTGGAAGAGCTTAGATGCCTCCCAGTTGCAATTGCATCATTGCAAATATTAACTACTCTGTCTACCTGTGGTAATCCAACAGAATACCATCCTATGCACACACTGGACACTAGACAGAGTCTACTGAATGAATACATGGGAACATAACTGCTGGGAATGCTCCAAACAAGGAGGGACTTTAAGCCATTGTGGTTGTGCCACTCATTTTTCCCTTTTGACCAGAACCAACAAAACACATTAACTTTGTACTTGAAACAGCTTTAGGCTTTTCAGCACCTAAGCTAATGCTAGGATACCTGTCATCAAATTATAACACTGGGACTAGGTATAGACTATTGATACTAAGGGCAGATTTAGTGACTAAATGCATCATTCTTCCGAACTGGAAGTCCCCTACCACACCATATACTGAACACTAGACAGAAGACACCACAAATCTGGCCACGAAAGAAAATCATGTATAACAGGTAAAAAAAAAGTGGGCAAAATTTTCAGAATATCTGGAGCATTTTCCTAGAGTTGTTCAGTGGTGGACCTAGATAAGAGAACATAAAAAATGCTAGACTGATGTCCCTTTCCATGTCTCTCTGTCATGTATTTCACTTCCTCTTTCCATGTCCTTCTCTGTTATGTGCTTTGTCCTGTTCTCATATTGCTGTAACCATGAATGACCTGTGTAGAAATGGTTGTAGTTGCAGGTGTATGTATAGGGTTACCAGGCAGGGTGGGTGGACGGAGCCTGAGGACATATAAGTGGGCTACCATCAGATGAACATTTTTGTTTCATCTTTCAAAACACCAAGTTTTAAAATTAAAAATATCTAGATAACTGCTTTCTTTTATTATCTCATCTCTCCATCCAGATGTGGCAACCCACACTTGTTTCCTGACTATGATGAGTGAGGTTCAAGTTACTCAGAAAACTACTTTCCCTGTGATTATGGTCCAACTTTCTCCACAGTACCTTTTTAGAAATCAATGCTTTTAACTATGCTTATTGCTGCAGACTGGCTAATGCCACTTCACAGACCTTTTCAGTGTACATATAAAACACTCTGTGAACACACATAAGAATGTACAATGATGAATGTGGTAAATATATGTATCAGGTAGCTATGCATGCCAGAGAGCTGCTCTTCCCTGTGTGTATATGTGAAGGCAAAGGTGACCACCATGTAATGTGTGAAGCAGCTCTGAGGCAGGTGAAGTGAAAAATAATCTAGGCTGCAATTCATAAACCAATGAAGTTGGATTTACATAGGTTTAAAATTTAATCCCATGGATCAAGTAGAAATATGCAGGCTAACAGATACTCAGCAGCAACTGGGTCCATCATGCAAATTACCCACTTAAATTACTAGCTCTGCTGCCCTTGGAAATGTGAGTAAAACAAGTCACATTCCAATTGTTTCAAATTTTAATAGGAAGAACTGTGAAAATCAGCCAATTGTTTCACAAGTCTATCAAGCACCGTCTGCCATTGTGAAAATCAGCCAATTGTTTCACAAGTCTGTCAAGCACTCTCTGCCATTATTGTAAGAGCATTTTGGGAAAGAAATGAGGGGAATAAGTCAAGTGGGATCTGAAGCCATATTATACATGTGGCAAAGCTTTCATAGGTTAAACATCTGCACATTAAGTGGGGAAGTTGTGCACACTTTCTGTACACATCACTCATTGACATGATTATAACGTTCCCTATCATCTCCTTGAATCATGAATACATCAGTAAACAATTCCTTTGGGATTTTGGCCACCTGAAGTCTTACATGGAGCACTTATGTAATTTGCTGCAATGGTAGTGCACAGTTTTGAGAGACATGTACATTGGGAGTGTAGTGTGGTCAGCCAGGGAGCTCAGAACTGTCTTAACTCCTGGCTTCACAAAATTAGACCAAATTTGAGGAGGGGGGGAGACTGAGTGAGAGAGGAGGGTCAAAGTACAATTTAATGACTACCCTCTTCCAGAAGATGGGACACAAAGGGGCACAACGGGAAGAGAGGAATTTGATATTACACAGGGTATATATTTTGCACACACTTTTACACACATCTACCTATAGTACATGTAAAAATATATGCTGTACATACACCCACCTCGCTGTGGTGTTTAACGACACTACCTGAATGCGTGCATGTGTGAATGGGTATGTACGTGTGTGCATGAATTAAATATACAGATCCTACTAAGTGTATATGTGCATATGTACACATACATAAAATCGGCAGACAAACTGCCAACCCTTCACCAGCCACCTCTTCTTTTTCAGTAGAAAAGCCACTGTAGAATGGATTAATATGACACACCACTTCGATATAGTGTTTCCTTCCCCTTTGTGTAGCAGGTACACTGATCCTTGCACACCAGAACCACACGTACAACATTGCAGACAGGGGCAGGGGGCAGTGGAAAAGAAAATGGAAAGTTGTGCGGAGCAACGTATGAATCCGCTACGCAGTGCTTCAGACTGGGTCTTCTGTAAAGGAAATCCTCCTTTTCCAGCCCCATTCACAGGTGTGTGCAGGCCACAACACTACCTTATTGCACATGTTTGTTTTCAGGCTATATTAACATACCACTCTGTTTACATCCCACAGATCTTGCCCTCCTTTTGCATCATTTAAACTACAAGATATATGAACCCCCAAACCCTGCTGCCTCCCGCCACCCCAGCTTCCCACTTCCACCTAGAAGGAAAAATAATACATAATAAAACAAAAGCTGCTCACTAGCAGAGTGCAACAATAGTACACACTGAACAGGTGTTTTCTTCTGGAGCTCTGTGGAAGAGTTTACTTCTAACACAGTAAACAACGCCATGCAGAGAAAAGATGACAAAGAAAGAGAGGGTAGGGGCTCTAGAGGAGGAGGAAAACAAGGAGTCGCAAAACAAGGGTTGAGAGAGAAAGAGAAACAGAGAAAGACTATGTGGAGGAGAAGACAGAAAGAATACAGTGAGGAGAAAAAAGCGCAGCATGGCAAGTGCCCAAGGCTTTTTTTTTCATTTTTGTCCATTTCATGTAAACAAGCTAATAATTCTCCTTAGAACAAGTAAAAAGGTTGCAGTTCCAAGTCTAAAGGACTGTGTTTCCAAAAGTCTGTTCTGCCACACCACAGCCAGTGTGAAGGGTGGTGAAGGGAGAAAAACAAAACCACAGGACCATGAAGGGAGTTTTCTTCCAAAATCTTCATTACTTAAAGCTAAAGGGCGGGGGGTGGGGGACCCAGCGAGAGAGACAGAGAGAAAGCCAAATTGGGAGCCCTTTGTAAGGCTGGCTCTGTGTGTCTCTAGACCAAATAAATCACACTAAATTTAGTGAACCTTTTTTTTCTTCCTTTTAATGATGTGAAAAAGAGTGTGTTTTCTTCCTCTTCCCCTTGCTCAAAGACGGGTCTGTGCCTCAGGAACGTAGATTTCAATGCTGTCCGCACTCTCAGTGGCAGAGTTCTGCCGGACCGAGGCAGCACGCTTGGCTGCCATGAGGCGTTTTCGGGCTTCCTGGCGCTGCTTATCCACCGAGTCAGAGGCTTTGTCCCGGTTCAGCTGGGATTTAGGTTTGGCTGGCTTCTTTGGCACAGGAGGGGGTGGTTTCTTCTCTTCCTTTAGAAAGAAGGAGAGAAAAAAACCCTGAGCAAAATGTCAAGAAGATGGCATGGAGGACTACAATTTTCCCCTCTAAAACTCTAAAGTCTGGTTCACTATCTCACCTCAGTGGCAAAAAATTTAAGATTGCTATTCAGCACACAATTACTAGAGAGTTTAATTTGCTAAAAAAAAAAGGCGAGTCATCTTGAGGGTTTTCCATAAAAGACTAAATGTCACAGCTATTTGGAAAAACACACACCAAGCAGTGACTGTCAGAGGGACTTAAAACACTAACATAGCTAGGCTAATGTGACTGAGAAAAAGGCATCAGATCATGGTTCGAAACATATTGTTCAAAGTAAAACTACATCAATTGACATTATTCAGAAGTGTCACATTTATATCTATCAGCAAGACTAAGGTGCTCAGAGGACACATCAAAATCAAAATGCTGCAACGTGGTTGCATAACCTAAATGAAAAAAAATTAAAATTCTAAAATTCTTTCTACTCTCTGCGGGATGTGGCGGTGCTGCAGGTTAAACCGCAGAAGCCTCTGTGCTGCAAGGTCAGAAGACCAAGCAGTTGTAAGATCGAATCCATGCTATAGAGTGAGCTCCCGTCGCTTGTCCCAGCTCCTGCCAACCTAGCAGTTCGAAAGCATGTAAATGCAAGTAGATAAATAAGTACCACCACAGTGGGAAGGTAACGGCGTTGCATGTCTAGTCACGCTGGCCATGTGACCATGGAAACTGTCTTCATGCTGGCTCTATGGCTTGGAGACAGGGATGAGTACTGTGCCCTACAGTGGGACACGACTGGACTAAATGTCAAGGGGAACCTTCTACTCTCACTTTTGATAAATCAAAATTAGAAGCCACAAATCTGTTTCTAGCTAGTAGCTTACCTTGGGGGCATATCAAACTGCTCATGATTACAGTGTTCAGGAATGATAAGAATGGAAAAGGACCAACCACTTTAGACATCTTTAAATTTTACAGCCTATCAAGGAACAAAACATTTTATGTGAGCTAGAACTGTGGAGATTGGCACTTTTAGACTCGTACAGCTCCTAGACTTTTCCAGGCAGCTATCGGACAGCACAGACTGATACACCTCCAATATAAGACATGAACGCAATATTATTAGGAACTGCTAACTTGGGTGATTTCATCTACAACTTAACACTACTTTTAGTTGTTAAGACTGAACAGCACTTGGAAGGCACATAATCCTGAACATTGTGGTTTTTTTTTTTGAAAAAAAAAAACAGTTTTTAAAGAATGAAGTGTGAGGATTTACTAGGAAGACAATGGGTAAGACTGGGGAAAGAAAACACTGTAAGAAAACAAGTAAAGAACATTTGCTCATGGTTACCGAAAGCGCCAGTACTGCCACATGGCAGTAGATAAATATGGACAGATCTTCCAGAATTTAGAAGCTATTGTAATATTGTGACTCCTCATTTCGAACACACTCTGCTGGTGCTTAAGGAAATTCACTAACAAACAGTTGATTTCTAATTACAGTTATAAAGTGCTAATACTTATGTTGGGCACCCTATAAGGGTCCAGGTTCTTCAGATAACTGAAGAAAATGTCTTCTTTCTGTGCCAATTTCCCAGTTGACTGAGGTCATATTTGCAAGTGCCCCTCCAGCTAAGCTGCCTGAGGCAAGGAAAGTAGTGACTGCAGAAAAGAGTTTCTTAGCTGTGGTGTGACATTCACAAATTCCCTCTCCAGATATTTTGGACTGACACCAGTGATATTATCTTCTCAGTATCAAGCAAAGTTTTTTTTTTAAATTTTAAATGCATTACTCTTTGATCTGCTATTCCAATCACTGTATTCATTTTTATAGGTGTGTTTTAACATGTGTGTTTAAACCACCCTGGGAACTGCAGTATACAGATCTTTCATCTGCCCAATATAGACCAGAAAAATTCCATCTACACCTCTCCCCAGTCTATACATTTTGAAACTGGACCACTTCAACTTATGCCATAGCAATTGAGTTTCTCTAAAATGTTCAGTTACTCACTTTCTTCTCCGGTGTCTCTGTCAGCTGCCAGCCATTAGCCTTTAAGTGATATAGCTCATCAAATTTCATACTGATGTCTTCAATGGACAATTGTAAGAGATCCCAAAAACCAGCAAGGTCTTGTGCTGTGGGCCTGGGATTGGAATTGGGATTCTGCAAAAAAAAAGAGAGACAGTGTACATGAAAAGATGAAAATATTGCCATCCCTACAACATGTGACCTTTTCTGTTTAGAAATATCATTTAAGGCTAGATGTGCACCAGAAATAAAAAGAGCATGACACCTTAAAGATTAACCTTTTTAAAATACAGTGTGATTTATTTCAGAATCTATTTCCTAGATGTATGCTGGAAAATTTAAGAACAGAACTGCAGATTATTTTACTTTTATGTTGAAAAGACTGAATCATAGGATTTTTTAAATATGCACCAGGAGAAACCTAGTTCTAAGTGTGCTGCATCTTTGCATTATTATTAATTTAATTTTATTACCTGCTGCTATTATGTCTTAGTATACAAGTCAGCTGTGAATAAATTCGTTGGCTGACATTTGCATCTTGCTGGCTGAATAGCCAATGAGTTAGGTATCTGACTGCACAGCCAGAAGCTGGGAATCCAATTCCCTACTGTGTCTCCTAGGGAAAGAGTCAGCCTGTATTCTCTACCTAGAAAACCCTGAAAAAGGTCACTACAAGTCAGCATTGACTTGATGACATCATAATCATCATCATCAGTAGTAGTAGTAGTGGTATTGATCATCATCATCAGCAGCAGCAGTAGTAGTGGTATTAGTATTAGTATTAAAATAATAATTTTGTGAGATCAACATGGTGATATCACTTCTGCCTATTTCAAAAGAGAATAGGTTCGGGCTCTTCCCATTCACAGAGAAAAATGCACAGATTCTGTTACGGATATTGCCTTTTCTCAACTTCTAGCCCAGAGTACTTTGGTGAATCAGAGGAAAACTTTAATAGTCTCCAGTAAAGTGGCTGATAGTGGAATGAGGTTAGAGGCCAGGTACAGATAAACTCCCAAGCAATCATACACAAGAAAAAAAATTGTTCTGAAGAGTTTATCATTAAATACTTGCTCAGCCAAAATAAAACTGAGGTCAGGTCTCCTGTTTCTAAATTAATGTTACTGATATACTGTTGCTACTTTGCTTTAAACTGTACGTCAGGGTTCGTCAACCCCCCGTCCGGGGGCTTGTCGGAACTGGGCCACTGGCGTGGGGATGCCCCCCCATGCAGGGAGTTCGCTCCCCCCAGCCGATCCACAGCCCCAAAAAGGTTGGAGACCGCTGCTGCACATAATCTCAACAGCATATATACAACAATGGATTTAGAGGGCACTTTTAACACCAATGTACAGAGTGATAATGCAAGGAAGTAATGCAGGACGTTATGTCCTCAAATCCGTCTTGTTTTCAAAATTAGGAGGAGATACTTTATAAGGCCAATATATACGTAGGAATATAAAAGGCTGCAAGGAGGTTCTTTGGAGCTAGATATAATTTCTATGCCTCGGCCCTCACAAATCCACACTGTTTTGGTAAGAGAGTCACTGCATGGAATCCTGATTCCATGGTATTTTCTTCTGAATGACAGTGAGGTGGGCTGAAATGGGATTTCAAGAAAAGGGAGGCAGTGGGTTGTTATAATTTCAATTATGTTCTCACTCATTTTCTTTAAACCATATTAATGCATGCTCTGATATGCTACAATTCAGAAAAATGCTACGCAATGCATATCAGTGTACCAGACATGGAGATCCCCACCAATATATTACAGCATTCCTAGTTCCATGGAGAAGAGCTTTTGTAATTTATGACTATGGAATCCACCCCAGTGCTGATTTCCAAAATGTTACAAGGCATACTGTCTCATTTTTCTATTCCTCATTTCCCCCTAATTCCCCAGCATGGTGCCTTCAATATTTTGTGACTTCACTGTTCTCAAAACCAGAATTTTTTTTAACCTTCTGGGTCTCTGAAGCCCTATCTGGCTCTTTAAAACCAGGCAAAATAATCCTATCTAGAGCAGCCTTTGACTGTGTGGCCCACAGCAAACTATGGCAAGTTCTTAAAGAAATGGGAGTGCCTGACCACCTTATCTATCTCCTGAGAAACCTATATGTGGGACAGGAAGCAACAGTTAGAACTGGATATAGAACAGAGCAGGGGAGGGAGATAAATAAATAAAATAAATAAAAAATAAAGATGCGGGGTATAAAATAAATAAATAAATAAAATAAAAAATAAAGATACCAAAAATATTGTGGCACCTTAAAGACTAGCTTCTTATTTATTTATTTATTTATTTATTTGATTTATATCCCGCCCATCTGGTAGGTCAGTACCACTCTGAGCGGCTGTATTTTAATGTGAGCTTTTGTGGACAAGTCCACTTAAAAGCAGGACTACATGGCAAATATTTATACACTTATTTATAGAGGGCCTCAAAACAAAGGCTGTTTATTTCTTGGGCAGGAGTTGTTCATAGTGAAGAATTTCACACCTGGCAATGATCTTAAAGACCCCTGTTGATAATCTGGAAACAATGACAAGGACTGGTGGCTACCATGTGAGCTTTTGTGGACAAGTCCACTTAAAAGCAGGACTACATGGCAAATATTTATACACTTATTTATAGAGGGCCTCAAAACAAAGGCTGTTTATTTCTTGGGCAGGAGTTGTTCATAGTGAAGAATTTCACACCTGGCAATGATCTTAAAGACCCCTGTTGATAATCTGGAAACAATGACAAGGACTGGTGGCTACCTTGTCATTGTTTACAGAACAATGCTTCCTGGGAGGGAAGCTGAGCATCAATGGGGAAGGACATTGTATTGTCAGGTGTGAAATGCTGCACTGTCAACAACTCCAGCCCATGAAACAAACATTTTCTTTATTTTGGGACCTTGTATATTAAAATGTATAAATATTTGTCATGTAGTCCCACTCCTATGTCTGAGGACGTGGAGATGTCCATGAAAGCTCATATTAAAATATAGTCAGTCTTTAAGGTAACACAATGTTTTTGTCTTTATTTTTCTTTGGTTTTTTGGCCTGATATGCAGACTTACATGACTACCTGTTCTAAAACTATGTAGAGTGAAGTTCTCTTATATACAAGAGAAGTTCTCTTATATATATCCCACCCATTTGATTTTGCAAACAGTCCATAACACATACAATAATAAAACCAAAATAAAAAAGAAAGAATAAAGAAAGAATTAAGAATTGACAGGAGGGAAGGCCTGAATGTACATCCATGTTTTTAGTTGTCTCTTAAAAGTGTCCAGTGTGGAGGCCACATGAATCGCTGGAGGAAGGTTATTCCAAAGGCGAGGAGCCACCGCCGAGAAGCCCTTTCCTTCCAGGCCTCCCTCGGCGTTAGGCTCCTCAGCCTCACCTCCTGATT